CCCGTGTCCCCTGCATCGGCAGGCGGACTCTCAACCACTGTGCCACCAGGGAAGCCCTCACCTCTCTTTTTAATAGCACGCCTGTTACTATTAAGCAGGCGATGGAGACAAAGCCCCTGATGGGGCTCTGGGATTTACATAGTGCCGACAGGTCAGCAGTGGGACTGGCAGTAGGGATCCTGATTTCTTCTTTCTCGTCTCTCAGCTGAACCCATGTAATGAGGTTGTTGCTGTTCCCTTCAGGGTAGTAGCTGCGTGCCGCTTGGCTGAAACGTTTGGGAGGGGGTGCCTGGGGTGTGGGAGCCACCCTGGACTGCCGTCGGGCCAGCGTGCTCGCCGGGACCGGCTCTGTGTGCTCAGGTTCACTCTGTCTCCTGCTGAGCAAGTACGTGGCTCCATTTCTGTCTTCTCGTGGGGAGGCTGTCACCCTTTTGCAGACATGTGTGGCCTGGGCAAGACCCTCCTGTTGCAGAGGCTGCCTGGGTCTCTGCAGGCCTCCGTTTCCAAGTCTGTAAGATGGGGCCGTAGTACTTGCTTGCGAGTTGTTTCCTGAAGTGCAGGGCCAGCTGCTGGCGGGGTCATCACTGGTGTCGATAGTGACGGTGCTATCTAGAGGAATGACCACGTGGTGGCACTATATGATGAAGAGCAAAATTAGAATGTAATCCGGTGGTTGTTTACTTTTACTTAGCTTTCCATTTTTCTGTGTTTTTGCATTTCTGCAAAAAGCTTTACCGGGCATGCTGTCCCTGAGCTCACCCTCCCGTTGGACAGCTGGCTTGTTTCTGGTTTCCTGACTCTGTGTTTCCAGGGTCCTCTCAGGATGAGGTCCCGGAAGCAAAATTGACACGTCCGAAACCCACTTTTAAGGTTTTTACGTGCTTGGCGAAATTCTCTCCAGGACGTTGTCTTACTTCTCCCTGTCGAGGGAGGGGCGGTTGAGGAGTCCGGGGCTCTGGCAGGCCTGGAGGGGCGGGGGGACAGGTGCAGGGGCGGCGCTGCTGGTCCGGGCTGGCCCGGTCCCCGCCCCCGCCCGATGACACAAGAGCAGCAGCTCAGCTCTGGTTTTTTGTCTCCCAGCAACAAGTCCGACACTCTGCCTCTGGCCACTCGGTTCAACATCAAGTGTGTGGGGCTGTCCCCAGACGGCCGCCTTGCCATCATTGTGGATGAAGGTAACCGCCCTCGGCCGACAGGGGGCGGCGGCATGGGGTGGTGGCTGCAGGCCGGGTGTCCAGCTGACCCGAGGCCGACACTAAGACCCCTGGGGGTCCAGGCCCGCATGGTCCCCTCGGCTGCTTCCGTGTCTGGCGCCCCGGTGGGCCTCGGGAGGGCACGCGGGGTGTCCTCCCTGGCCGTGTGCCACCGGCACCGCGGGGCTGGGCCTCACGACCTGATGCCTGCGTGCGGCGTGCGGGGCCTCCCTCTGCTCTCCCTTCCCGCAGGGGGCGACGCGCTGCTCGCCAGCCTGACCTGCAGGGCCGTGCTGCACCGCTTCCACTTCAAGGGCGCTGTGCACAGCGTCTCCTTCTCCCCCGATGGCAGGTACGCACCTGCGGGCGCGGCGGGAGCTGTCGAGCTGCAGGCTCCCTCGCGCCTGGTGGGCTCGGACGTCGCTGCGGCGGCCACAGACAGTCCCCGAGCCCCTGCCCCGCTGGGTCCCCCTCCGGGTCTGGGCTGCGCAGGCCCCCCCCCTCCTCCCCCAAGGCTGGCGCTCACACCTCAAGTGGCAGGTTCTGCAGGTTCTCGTCCAGAACCGCCCCCAGGGAAGCTGTGCCCCCAGACAGCGGGTCATGGAGGAGCCCTGTTGCTGAGCGGCACTGGCCCGCGGCCTTGACCCCGCTGGGAGGAGCACGTGGCGAGTCCCGGGCCTGCCCTGGGCTCCAGGGCTGTGGGAAGGGGCGCTCTTCCCGGCTGCTCAGGCCCAGGCTGGCCGGCTGTGCCGTGGAAGGGGCGGCTACCCCACATCCACCCTCAGAGACCCCGGAGAAGGCGTCCTGCGCAGGGGCCGCGCCCGGGTCCTGTCACAGGGCCTGTCTGTGTCTTGTGTTCGGTTCCACCCAGGGCTTTCTGAGCTTGGTCTGGCCTTGGTGACCACCCCCTGGGCCGGCGGGAGGACCTGAGGGGCCTGTGCTCCAGGGCAGAGGTGTGGCAGGGCCCAGGGTCTGTCCACTTCTCCCTTGACTCTGTTCGCCCGGAGAAGGGGGGAGTCGGGGCCCGTGAGAGGCAGGGTTAGGGCTTCCGGTTCGCCGCCTGTAGGGCTGGCCTCGGAGCGGGAGAGCGGCCCTCTCTGGAGCTCTGAGCTGGGCTCGGGGCCCTCACTGGCGTTGGATGGTGATGGCACCCGTTTCTGCGGCAGGAAATTTGTCGTCACCAAAGGCAACCTTGCTCAGATGTACCACGCCCCTGGGAGGAAGCGGGAATTCAACGCGTTTGTTCTGGACAAAACCTACTTCGGGCCGTATGACGAGACCACGTGCATTGACTGGACAGACGACTCCCGGTGAGGACTGGTCGGGGTGGGGCTGGGCATAGGAGGGGCCCGAGGGGAACCTGTAAACAGCACCTTGCTGGGGAACTCGGGGTGACTTGTCGCATCCTCGTCTTGTTTTCAAATGGTCTCTCACGAGCCTCGTGTGGCACGGGGCGCAGGCCTGGCTCCTGGGTCTGAGTCAGGTCTGTCTGGCCCTTGTGACCGGACACCAGAGCAGAGCGCGGCCCTGGGTGGCGACCACGATAAGCCAGCGTGCAGTGGCCCAGCCTCCGGGCCAGACTGGCCCAGCCGTCCCTGAGAGGGGCTGGCTGTGTCTCCGTTGCCCTGGGTTCTGGGCGCCGCGAGTGGGAGGGGAGGCTGGTGGTGGCTGCCAGTTCATACACCAGGCGGGCTGTTCTCACGTGGTTGGCCACGGCGCGGGGCACGCGGCCCCCAGGCGCGCAGGGCGTCCGCGGGAGACGCGGGTGGGCTCCTCGGGGGTGGGTCTGCGGGGAGGACCAGGCGCCCCGTAGCCAAGCCTTCCTGCCCTTCCGCAGGTCCTGGGATCGCGGGCGGGTCAGGGAGGCATGAAGAGCAGCGTCCCCGGGCAGCCCCCCACGGGCTCAGTGGTCGGTTCTCAGGCTCCCCTGGGCTGCCCCCCGCTGGGAGACTGCTTTGTTCCGAGGGACAGTGACACACGTGCAGTGAGGCTCCTGGTCCCGGGAGAAGCACAGGTGGATGCAGCAGACCAGAGCTGTCCCCGCCTGGAGCCTTGGGCGTCTCCCCTGTGCCCGGGGACCCCACTGCGAGCCCGAGGCTGAGCTGCGACTCCCCTGTCCCCCAGGTGCTTTGCGGTCGGGAGCAAAGACATGTCCACGTGGGTGTTTGGGGCCGAGCGGTGGGACAACCTCATCTACTACGCGCTGGGGGGACACAAGGACGCCATCGTGGGCTGCTTCTTCGAGTCCAGCAGCCTGGACGTACGTCCCCGGTCACAGCCTCGAGTGGGCGCTGGGCCCTCCCCTGAGGCTGCTCCCGGTGCCCTGGGGAGGCCGGGGCTGCGGTAGCTGGGGCAGGCTTTTGGGAGGTGTCTGTACGGCCTGGGCCGCCGTGGGCTGGGGGTCAGGGTGACCCAGGCTGTCGCGTCTCCCTCCGCAGCTGTACACGCTCAGCCAGGACGGCGCCCTGTGCGTGTGGCAGTGTGACACGCCCCCTGAGGGCCTGAGGCTGAAAGCCCCCGCGGGCTGGAAGGCGGACCTGCTGCAGAGGGAGGACGGGGCGGAGAGGGAGACCACCGTCCACGGGAAGGCCGTGCCGGCTGCCGAGGAGCAGCAGGGGAAAGTGACGTACTCGCGGGCGGCCAAGTAGGTGCCCCGCCTGCACGGGGTGGGCCCTGCGCCCCCTGGGGCTGCGTTGTGATTCCTGCCCCTGCGCCCCAGGCGGACCGCGGGTCAGGAGCTGGGAGCGCAGAGCTGCGAGCGCGAGGGCGCAGCAGCTCGTCCTCGGGAAGAGGGGCAGAGGGCGTTGCCGGCAGGCTGCCCTCCGCACGCCCTGGGGGTCGGTGGGGCGCTCTGGCCCTCCTCCTACAGCCCTCGTGCCGCCGCCTGCCTAGGCACTTCTTCAACGCAGGAGGAGACCTCACGCGTCTGACCGCCGCAGCGTATCACAAGGCGGCCCGCCTCCTGGTCACTGGTTTTGCTTCCGGAATCTTCCACCTTCACGAGCTCCCCGAGTTCAACCTCATCCACTCCCTGAGGTCTGCGACTCTGCTGTGTGGTCACGTGTGTGCATGCGTGTGTGCGTGCGTGTGTGTGTATGCATGCCTCTGTGTGTGTGTGCGTGTGTGCGCGTGTGCGCGCTCTCAGTCCACCGGCAGGCAGTGGGGGAAGGTGGAAGCCGTGCTGTGCCCGTCTGGACCGAGGGCCGTGGAGTGGCCGCCAGCCGCACGGATGGCTTCCCAGGACACTTGCACCTTCCTCCCTCCTGGATTAGAGAGATTGGGGGCGCTGCTGCCCTGCCCCCATCTCAGACGTGCAGTCCCCTCGGCCCCATCCACCCGCCCAGTCAAAGGGAGCTTTGGTTCCACATGTAAGATCACTTTGTTTTTATTTCCCGCTCTCCTTTTTCTCCTGCACATTTGGAACGTTGAGAAAACTAAAAGCACTGGTTTCCCGAAGGCACGCAGCTTCGAGGTTTTGAACGCGGGGCGAGAAAACTCTGGGTTTTCTGATGCACTCGGTGAAGTGAATCGTCTGTGTAGTAAACGGGTGGGGAGGAAGTGGGTGCTGCTAGCGGGGAGACCTGGCCCTGTCCTCACTCGCACGGCCACCCCGGGGAAGGGATGGGGGCCCTTGCTGTGCTGACCGAGCCCCGCGTTTCTCCGCAGTGTCTCGGATCAGAGGGTCTCGTCCATCGCCATCAACGGCTCTGGGGACTGGATCGCCTTTGGGTGCTCAGGTTGGTACCAGGGTTTGTGAGGACAGGAGCGGGACTCTTCCTCCGGGAAGCCTGCCAGCCATCCTGACTCCCCACAAGGTGCCGCACCAGGCCAGCAGCCAGGTGGCTCCCTACGAAGGAGCAGCCGCTGAAGCTTCCTGCACAAAGGCTCCTCTGAGCCCTGAGTCCCATTGCCGGCTGAGTTCTGGCCTCCCTCGGCAGCACCTGGCCTGTCGCCTTGGCCTCTGGCGGGTGACCCGGGAGGTTGGCGTCTCCGTGCTGGGGCCCCTTGTTCAGGCGGAGGCCGACGGCACCTGCCTCAGGCCGAGATGGGCGAGCGGTGTCACGAGCAGTCCCTGTGTGCCCCGCAGGCCTGGGCCAGCTGCTGGTGTGGGAGTGGCAGAGCGAGTCCTACGTGCTCAAGCAGCAGGGCCACTTCAATAGCATGGTGTCCCTGGCCTACTCCCCCGACGGGCAGTACATTGTGACCGGCGGGGACGACAGCAAGGTGGGCCACAGGGGTGGCGAGGGCGAGCCCGAGGGGTCCTGTCCCCGTTCTGCTGGCCTGGCTGAGGCGGGGTGCAGCACCGTGGCCAGGCCCTGACGTGGGGTTCAGCCTGGAGCTCCAGAGCCCACCCCGCCTCATCTGGCTTCCTGAGAGGCCGTTTGCAGACTTGCCCGGTCTGAGTGGAGAGGCTTTGGGTGTCTGTTTCCCCCTTTTTGGCTCTGTTTCCTGGGCACGTCTAAGGGGTCCATGGCGCCAGCAGCCGCTCTCAGATGTGGGAGGCTGCCCCCCGCAGCGCCCCAGTCCTCGCTCGCAGGGGCACCCCCGTGGGGTGTCCTGAGCCATGGCGCTACCCGCCACAGGTCAAGGTGTGGAACACCCTCAGCGGCTTCTGCTTCATCACTTTCACGGAGCACTCGAGTGGGGTCACCGGCGTGACCTTCACCACCACTGGCTACGTCATCGTGACCTCTTCCATGGACGGGACCGTGCGCGCCTTTGACCTTCACAGGTGACCTTTCTGCGGGGAGGCCTGCCCCGCAGCCTCTCCCCACGTGCTGGGCTGTGAGAGCGAGGCTGAGGGTTCTGGGCTCGTCGGTCAGACCCAGGGTGAGGCCCACGAGAGCTCGTGGGCGCCCGGGACCGTCCCAGCCGGGCTCTCTTCCCGCAGGTACCGCAACTTCCGCACCTTCACGTCCCCGCGCCCCACCCAGTTCTCCTGCGTGGCCGTGAACTCGAGCGGGGACATCGTCTCTGCTGGGGCCCAGGACTCTTTTGAGATCTTCATCTGGTCCATGCAGACGGGCAGGCTCCTCGACGTAAGGGCCGCGAGTCCAGGAGCTGTGCTCTTGGCTGGGGGCTGGGGTGTGGGGAGGGGGCTTGGCTGACCTGAGAGGAATGGGGGACAGAGTCACATCCTGGGCACGGGCAGCACCGTTTACACGTGTTTTCCTGGGCGGGCTCCCCTTCCTGGCCCACACCGCAGCCCAGCGGCCACGGCCTCTGCACCCCGGGGCGGCCTGCTGGGCGTCTCTCGTCCTCAGAGCTCTTTTCTGAACGGCCGTAGGTTTTGTCCGGCCACGAGGGGCCCATCAGTGGTCTGTGTTTTAACCCAATGAAGTCGGTCTTGGCCAGCTCCTCCTGGGACAGGACGGTGCGTCTGTGGGACATGGCGGATAGCTGGAGGACCACAGAGACGCTGGCCCTCACGTCCGACGGTAAGCGGCTGCTGGGCACCAGGGGGAAAGCCCGGTCTCGGGCGCGTGGTTGGATAAACCCAGGGCTCCGAGCGCCGTGGGCTGTTAGGGTTGGCGGCCTGGTTTTGTCACTTGGCATTGGGCTCCCCCAGGGGAGCAAGCCGGGGGCCCTGCTGTAGCAGCTTCCTGGGCCTGAGGCCCTGTCCTGGAGCCCCGCCGCCTGTGCTTGGGGGCAAAGCGTCCTGGTGCGCAGCCGGCTGGGCTGCAGAGCTGATGGGTCACGGCGAAGACTGCGCTGCCCGTGTCTGGCCCTCACGGAACCCGGTCGTTGGCCGCGCAGCTCTTGGTCTCTGGTGGTCTCTGCTTCCTGCCACCCGACCCGGCTCTGATTCAGGCTTTTAGCCACTGGTCCCCTGCGTCTTCTGGGGGCCTCTGTACCACCCCCGCCTCCAGCTAGTCCGTCTCTGGCCCGCCCATGACCTCCACGTGACGCCTCCTGCCCAGAGCCCTCCCCTGGGTCGCCCTCACTCGGTTATGCCTCGTGCGCGTCCTGCGGCCCCCAGGCCCTCAGGGTGCCGGGACGAGGACAGCTCAGTGTGGCCCATCAGCCGGAGCCCAGGGTCTTCCTCGGCCCTGATTCTGCACCTCTTCTCAGCTCTGGCCGTGACCTTTCGCCCTGACGGTGCCGAGCTGGCCGTGGCCACGCTGAACTCTCAGATTACCTTTTGGGACCCCGAAAACGCGGTGCAGACGGGCTCTATCGAGGGCAGGCACGACCTCAAGACGGGCAGGAAGGAGCTGGACAAGATCACTGCCAAGCACTCGGCCAAGGGGAAGTGAGTGCTCAGTGGGGCTGACCCAGAGCCCAGGGGCTCCTCAGCGGGAGCCCCCCGGAGGGAGCAGGGTGTTGGCGGGGTCCGTGTGGATGAACAGGCTTCTGCGTCCTCCCCCCGCGAGGACCAGAACCTGTGGCCTGTTTTCAGTTGTCTCGGGTGCACCCCTGCCAGTGTCATGGCCAGGCCCCCTAGTGACTCTCTTTCACCTTTTGAGGACACCCCCAGCCCGACTGTTTTGCAAGGAGCCTGCACAGTTTACATCCCCCCAGGGCAGGGGCTTCCGCTGTGCCCACATCATTGGCAATGCTCCTTCCTGCCTGTTCTTAAAAATTCCAGCTGTTCTGGTGGGTGTGAGCTGGTGCCTCATAGTTTTGGTTTGCATCTCCCTGAGCAATGATGTTCTTGGCATCTTTTCACGTGCCGATGGACCATTTGTGTGTGGGCTGTGGAGAACTTTTTCTCCAGGGCATCTGTCTGTTCTGATGGGCCGTCCGTATTGCTGAGCTGTAAGAGCTCTTCGTGTACTTGAGGCGCAAGGCCCTCGGCAGATAAGCACTTCACAAGTGGCTTCTTCCTCCTGTGGCTCGTCTCCACTTTCTTGAAGGTGGTGTTTGAAGCACGTTTTTAATTGTGACAAAGGCCCACTTGTATATTTTTTCCTTTGTCACTTGTGCTCTCGGTGTTGTATCTAAGAATCCTCTGCCCGATCCAAGGTCACCGTCTCGAGTCCCGGGAGCCAGCAGGGCAGTGAGCGCCAGGTTTCTGGTCCTGCGGGCCTGAGGAGACGCCCCTGTGAACGCCGCCGTGAGCGGGGCAGGCGGGCCCCTCCCCGCGGCCCTTCTGGGAGCTGCCCTGCGGCTCCGAGGCTGCAGCGTTGCCCCTCCTCCAGGGGCTGTGCTGCCCAGAAGGAGCCTGGTGACTGGGCCAAGGTTCCGACCCTGCGGGGTTTAGGCCAGAGCCCTGGAGGATGCTGGGGAGGGTGCTGTTCACCTTCTGGGTGGCAGCTGAGGCCACGTCCCCTCTGTGCAGGGCCTTCACCACTCTGTGCTACTCTGCGGACGGCCAGAGCGTCCTGGCGGGCGGGGCGTCCGCGTTTGTGTGCATCTATCACGCCAAGGAGCAGATCCTCAGGAAGAAGTTCGAGATCTCCTGCAACCACTCCCTGGGCGCCATGGAGGTGAGCGAGCGCCGCCAGGCCGCAGAGCAGGGCCCGGGGCGGCCCGGGGCCCCTGTGTGGTCCCTCCTGCGAACGCCCCGGCTCCACGTGGCCCTGGCGTGGCCCCTGGACAGGTGTGCCAGCCTGGCTTCACCTGCTCTGGCTCCCCTGCCAGGCAAGGGGCTTCTGCGTGCGGCTGTAAGCCCGCCCCCTCCTGGGTGTTCCGGGGTGGGCTGTCCTTGTCATGTGCAAGGGGACGTGCAGTAGGACGGGCTGTGGCAGGTGGCAGCAGACGGCACCCCATGTGCGGCTCCCTTGCAGGTTCACGCGCGCCCTTCACTTCGGCTGTCGGGTTAGAGAATCCGCCCCCCACGGGGCTGGCTGCGGGAGCCCAGGGGAGGCTCCGCCGTGTCCTGTCTCGGGCTCCATGTGCCCCGTGGGGTTCCAGGCAGGGCTGGCCGCCCCCCAGCCTGTGTTGGTGGCACAGGAGGGAGCTGGGGCAGACGAGCGCACCCTCGCTGCACCTCCCGCGGTGAGATGTCCGGGTTTTGCCCTTTAGGAATTTTTGAACCGAAGGAAAATGACAGAGTTTGGCAACCTGGCACTCATCGACCAAGACGCCATGGAGGAGGGCGGGGTCCCGATACCGTTGCCGGGCGTAAAGAAGGGTGAGCAGAGGGTCCTCTTGTGTCCCCCTGGCCAGGGCACAGCAGGCCACCCTGCTCACCACCTGCTTTTCCTGGGGGATGGCGGGCGGTGTTGCTCTCATCAGGGCTGCAGCGATTGACGTCCAGGAACTCTGGCGCTGGTGGCCAGGGCGCGGGGTCCCCCCTGCGAGTGGCTGGGCATCTGGCTGGTGCCCAGCCCTGTGCCTTGCGCCTGTCCCCACGTGGGCCTCAGGGCAAGCCCAGTGTCGGGCTGGCAGCCTCCCCGGCCTGAGGGCCCTGAGGGGCTGGAACCACCTGCCTCGCAGCCTGGGCTGGGCAGGGCTTTTCTCCGGAATGGCCAAGCCGGCTGCTGGCTAGGCCGGAGCCCAGAGAGCGCTCAGCCTGAGGGCTCGTGCGGGGAGGCCTGCAGCGGCCGTGCAGCAGCACCTGAGGCCCCGACACGGGGCTGCTGCCCCTGCTGGCTCTGCAGGACGGGCCTCCCTTCGTGGGGCGAGTGGTGAGGGGTGTGCTTCCCTGTGACGGGCGGTGCCTCTGTTCCCAGGTGACATGAGCTCCCGGCACTTCAAACCTGAGATCAGGGTGACTTCGCTCCGCTTCTCTCCCACCGGTGCGCCCTGGGCGTCAGGTCATTGATGTGGGAGGGGCGGGCTTGGTCCCTTCCGGGCCTGCGGTGTGCACGGTGGGCCTGGCAGCCCCCTCCCGGGGCGAGGGCAGCACGGAGCCTCTGGCCGGCTCTGGGCACCGCCGACCCCCGGGCGTAACACGTGGCCATCTCTGTCCCCGCTGGCGGGCGGCCATGGAAGCTGTGGCTTCAGACGTGCCCAGCTTCCAAGCGGGGAGGTGGGCACCTGCCCTGAGTGCTTGCCCGTGTGCCTGTCGGGCCGACCCAGGAGTCTCTGGCCGGGGAGGGAGCAGGACGGGGCTGCAGCGGGCTGATCCTCACGGGGCGCTCCTTCCCAAGGGGCCGGCATCCCCCAGGCTTCCTCCCCGTTGTTGCACTCAGGACCCCGGGGACGTATTCAGTATCTGTTCTTCAAAAAAATGGGGAAAAGCGGAAATAAACGTTCAGGAAGCCTCTGTTAAGTCCGCTTGATTTCCCAGGGCGCTGCTGGGCGGCCACCACCACCGAGGGGCTCCTTATCTACTCCCTGGACACCCGGATGCTGTTTGACCCGTTCGAGCTGGACACCAGCGTCACGCCTGCGCAGATCCGGGCGGCGCTGTGCCAGCGGGACTTCACCAGGGCCATCCTCATGGCCTTCCGGCTCAACGAGAGGAAGCTGCTGCAGGAGGCCCTGGAGTCGGTGCCCTGGGACGAGAGTGAGCCCGGGCCAGGGCTGGGGAGGCCCGCGGGGCCGAGGGGGCCCTGCGGCCACACGCGGCGGCCGTGTCTCTGCACGTGCAGAGCTGTGAGCGCATCTCTCCTGACAGGTTCTTTGTGGGCTGAGTGGGACTTTCCTCCTTCTCTTCCAGTTGAGGTCATCAGCTCCTCCCTGCCTGACTTGTACGTGGAGAAAGCGCTGGAATTTTTAGCTTCATCCTTCGAAGAGTCTCGCCATCTAGAATTCTACCTCATATGGACTCAGAAACTGCTTATGGCCCACGGACAGAAGCTCAAGTCCAGGTACGGCCCGCCGCTCCCTTGGCCACACCTGTCACTGGGTCAGCTGTCTGTGTGGATGCACAGGCCGGGGAGGCTCTACAAGCGTACAGCGTAGAGCAGGTCCGGGTGGCCTCGTGGTGGCCGCCCACGCTGAGGGAGGTGTCCTTTCCAGAGTGGGGACACTGCTGCCGGCAGTTCAGTTCCTTCAGAAGAGCATCCAGCGCCACTGGGACGACGTCTCCAAACTGTACGTGTCTCGGGAGTGGCTGATGGGCAGGGCGGGGCTTCCACTGTCACCAGCAGGTTCCAGTTGGTTCCACGCCAGGGCCGCTCTCTGTGTTGTCTATAATTTGGGGACAGAAGGCCCCAGCGTCGGTCTTACTAATGTGAGTCCTGTGTGCCTTTGGCAGCTGTGACTGGAACCGCTACAATCTGCAGTACGCTCTGGCCGTCTCTAAGCAGCGGGGCCTGAAGCGGCCCTCTGAACCGCCGGGCAGCGAGCCGGAAGCAGATGCACCTGAGGGCGATGACAACAGCCTCCACCTGCTCAGGAGAGGACCTGGGGATGGAGACGGGCCGCTGGCGTAGAGCTGGCCGCCTGCAGCCCTGCTGGTTTTGGCTGGGATGTTGGGCAAGGTGGGACCTCCACCACGGGGGGCAGCCAGGACGCAAGGACACTGCCGCCAGGACTCGCTCTTCTGCAGGGACCAGACGCGGCCACTGGGTCAGTGCGTGAGCTCACGGGTCCCTGGCAGGCACGGGCTTGGCACCCGGGGCCCAGGAGCATCTGCCGTCGAAAGCACCTTGCGGAGAGGTGAATGGGCTCACGTGTATAGACTCAAACTTTGTATGAGTTTTTATGTTTTTAATATAAAGCTTTGATAACGTGTATCTCTACAATGTAGGTATTAAGTCTGAGCTCTGAATTTGAAATGTTTGTAATGTATCCTGGTGTGATTGTCGTGCTGGGGGATCAGGGCCACCTGCCTGCTGGCACCTCTGTGCCAGGGAACGGGTGAGCAGGGTAGGTGGTTCGCCCTCACGGCCCCAGCCTAGGCTGCCAGCCCCATCGTCCCTGCACAGGGTCCGGCAGGGAACATCTGCTTGACTCTGACCTTGGAGAGGGGCCTGGGGCTGGGCCTGGACAGGCTTTCCAGGGAGACCCATCAGACCTGCTGGCCAGCTCTGAGAGGAAGACTCCATCCTGCGATGCCCCTCGGGAAGGGTCACTGTGAGGGCAGCCTAGACCACAGCCAGGCCCCTGGTCCCTTGGTAGCTACAGCTTCCAGGGTCAGGACACAGGCCCCAGCCTGCAGGTCACCAGAGGTGCGGCCACGGGTCACTGGACCATTATTAGGATGGATGGCAGGCAGGTTCTTGGTAGTGTGGTGGGGCTGTGTGCTCTTCTGTCTGCTTATGAAACTCATGTGCTGTCTTGGGATGGAGTCATTTCCTTTGTAAACATAATGGTGTCTATCAGAGCCTCTTCTGTTCTTGGGTATTAAGGTAGAAAATAAATACATTGATAGGTGTGTATTTTCAGATGCAAATAACTCATCTGCAGACTATCCCCGTGGTCCCGAAAGGAACCGGGATGGACCCTGTTTTTCTCCTCCCATCTTCCCGGCAGGGGTTGTCACACACCGAGCTTGGGACACAAACACTCTGACTCACCTCTCAAAAGCCACTGCGGCAGGGGGTGAAAGGCAGTGTTGGGTCTGTCATCTTAACCCCCAGCTGGGGAGAGAGACACTCAGCCCTGCCAGCCCTCTCCCAGGCTTCCCCACTAATGATTAAAGGAGGACTAAATAATATAACCTTGACCTTCCTCAAGAGGCTACCCTAATACCCACTCCTGAAGCAAAACCGTTGTGTAATCTGACCTGCCCTTGCACCCTCTACAGTTCACTTAACGATGCACTTAAATGCCTCCCTGCAGAGCTCGGACCACCGTTCATCCACAAGCCAGGACACCCTAGCAAGTGGGAGCCACTGAAAACTATAACCTTCCAACTTGTAACTATTCTGCGGAGGAGTCCAAAATGAGTCAGCAGAGGGACTGACCCAAACCAAAGATGGTCTAGCCTTCCAAGGATAGTCCCAACATGCCTGGAGGGCCTTAGAGCACACTGGCTACCAAGAGCCCATCAAATGGCAAAAATGGGTCAAGCACACCAAAATAAGAGTTGGTGTAATAGGGCCCCAAACAAAGAGGCCTGCAGCTCACCAGACCCTACGAGCTGGCCCCATTCTCACGTCACTCACATGCCACTAACCCACTTTCGGCCCCAGCCCAACGTTGGCCTCTGCAGAAACACACGTGGATGACGATGTGGACACCAGGAGGATGTGTTCCTCTGTGGGGCCCAGAGAGACACAACCTAAAGGAAATGTCCCCAGCAAAGCCCACTGGGGTCCCGGGAAAAATAAGATGGAATCCAGGGGATACAGTCCAACCTCTTTTGTGTGTATTCTAGTTTTACTTGCCTGTAGGGGGCTGTATGCAGAGGCTTCCCACCTAACATGTCGGATTAGCGTTCCCAGTGCAAAGCGGCTCTGCCTGACGGCCAGACTGGGTGAGCCGCGAGCAGAAGTGCTGCACCCGCCTGACCCACAATGACCCCACCCCCACCTCTGCCAGAACCCTATAAAGCAGCACCACCCCCTGGGCCTTTCAGGGGAGACCCTGTGCTGTAGGGCAAGCTCCCATCTCTCCATTCTTCGATCGAAGAATAAAGCTTTCCTTTGCTTCTCAACTGAACTTGGTCTCTGTCTACTGGCGCGAGCGACACTGGGCAGAAGGACACTTACTGGTGCCCGACTCAAAAGGGTCGGTAACATGTCCACCCCAGGAGAGCAGACAAAAGAAAGGCGGCCTCAGACTTAATAATCACGGGCACAGGCTTAGCACCAGGATGAGCAGCCCCACGGGGAGGGGGGTACCTATCACGAGGCCACCCTCCAAAATCTACCTGCCTCAGTGGAGGAACTGGCCATAACGCCAGCCTCTAGTTAGCCTGACCAAAGATCATGGTGAGTTCCATAGCCACTGTAGTAATGGATAACAGAACAGCCTTCGGTTACCCCTTGGCAGAACAAGGCGGCGCCTGTGTGGCTGCAACGCCTGCTGGTGCACGTGGACAAATACCACATACCACCCAGTGAAAAGGAAATAACAGCAACAGGCCAGCTGGTGACACAGCATTGGTAATCGCGCCCCGGAGGCATGGAATTCTATAAAGGGCTTCCTCCCCGGTGGTAGGTCGGCCGTTTACTCCATCCACTGACACTTCCTTTAGTCACAGCGCAGATTCTTCTGTTAGGCCTGTAATTCTTAATTTTCATGTCAAGTTTGCCTCTCAAAGACTGCAGGCCACCAGATTATTCCTCTGTTGTGTCAACGCTGAATTGGGGGCATACCAACACCTCCAACAGTCCAGTTTGAATACCCTAGAACGTGTACAGCTAGACGTCATGCTGTTTCATTCCTCAAGCCCCTGCTGGGCCTCGCCCTTAGCAGCAGAAAGCCGCTAGAGCGGTGGTCACCCTCAACCCTCATCCCTCAAGATTGAGGAATGATCCAAAGACAGGCATGGACTGAAATCGCCCGTGAGTTACGAGGCCCACGAGGTAGAAACAAAATGACATAGAGAACCCCAAGCTCCTTCTGCAGAGGACCAGGGAAACAAACTTGCTGACAGCCCCGCCGACCGAGCACGGCGCAGGCACACTGAAGGACTCGAACGAGGGACTACAATAGTGACCTTTAGACGTCACGGGCCAAAACCCCACTGCAAGTTACACCCCGCACCGCCAATTTGCACCTGCGACCGGTCAGAGGCTTAACTAGCAGCCCCAGCGCCTGCGCAGGAGAGCTCTTGATACTTGCCCTGCAACTTACGCTTACGTTCCACCAATCATATCCGAGCCCCCTCCCCTTCTTGCTCCCTACTTCCTGATAAATACCCCCTCAGCGGCCCCCGGGGACACAAATCTGAGTTTCGCACCGCACCCCTACGCCCGTTCTTGCTTGGCCGCCCTGTGATAAACCTCTTTCTCTGCAAAGACCTGGCCTCATATCTGGCCTTCCCTCTGCACAACCAGCTGGGTTACAAAAGGACCCACGTCAACAGAAAGGCGAAGAGCAGCAGGGGGAGGGGCGCCGGGCCGCTGCAGCGGGAGGGCCTCACTCCGGCCTGGACTCAGCGGCCGGGAAAGGGGGGGCGCAGATGAGAACTGGACACTTGGGCACCGGCCACTCGGTGTCGCGGAGTCACGTTGAGGCCTCATGACGACACAAGTTAACTCCAGAGCCCATATCTCAGAGTAGCGCTTCTCGTTAGCCGCGACCCTGCGCGCCTCCCGGCGACGCCGCCGCGGTGCGGGACGGGGTCGGTGCCCGAAGCCGCGTGGACCCGCTGCGGAGCCACGAGCCCTTGCCGGGTTGAGCGAGCCACGGGCGACTGCGCAGGCGTGGCCCCGCCCACCGGCGCGCTCGCGGGCAGGGCGGCGGCAGTGCGCAGGCGCGGCCCCGCTCACCGTGGCCCTGCGACCCCGATGTCCTCGCGCAGGATGGCGGCCATCCGGGCTCTGGTGGCGTCCAGGCTAGCGGTGACCCCCGCCTTCGCGCCGCGCCCCGGCCTGCGTGCGCTGCTCCTCGGCGGACCGGCGCAGTCCCCGCGCGCGGCCCTCCACGCCTCTGCGCCGCGCCCTGCGGCCAGGGTCGCAGTGGTGAGCGGACGGGCGGGGCGTGGGGACGAGGGGCGGGGCGCCGAGGTCGGCCTTCCCACCCTCCCCGTGTCCGCGGGCGGCCCCTCCGCCCCCCACCGCCTCCCTCGCGCTGACCTCCGTCTCCTCCAGGTCGGCCCCTCCCCCTGCGGGAGGCGGTCGGCCCTCCCGGTGGACCGCGTGACCCCCGTGACCGGCCCTCCATCCCCGCAGGTGCTGTCCGGATGCGGGGTCTACGACGGGACGGAGCTCCACGAGGCCTCATCGTAAGCCCCTGGGCGGCTCGCCCTCGGGAGGGGCGGTCCCCCTCTTCCTGAACCGTTCGGAGAAGCCTTCCTGCTGGTTAGGAAGGCAGAGAGGACTGCTGGACCAGACTCAAGGAGGCGCGAAGGACAGTGTTTAAACTCAATGCGTGTAACGTACAGGGAGACACAAAATGAGCTTTTTAGTATCACTCGTGATGCTGTCACACAGTGGTAATCACTTAACATCTACCCTGCTGTTTTTTCACACCCACGTGTTGTAAACATTGGGATCAAACGGTCCTGCGTGTTGGAAATCAGAGAGCTCTTTTCCGTCTTTACAGCATGATTTTTAAGGGCTGTGCAGTGACCTCGCTGTAGATCCATATCATTGGGGAAGCCTGTCAGCTGTTGCCGAGTAGTTTGTCCTTTGATCGATTTATTTACAAAGTTCCTGTGAGCAGGACTGTAGGGACTGTCAGGTTCAGAGTTAGTTGAAGGGGAGAGTTAGGTAGTGGTTGGGGAACACACCCCTCCCAAGCGCGGGACCTCGCTGGTCCCCGGAGGAGCCTGAGGCTGGTGGCTGGGGGTGGCCGCCGGGCGTGGCCAGCGGGTGCTGGCGGTGGCCGGACAGAGAGCGAACTGAACTTTATAGAGCGTGCTGGGCTGGTGGGTGGAGAGGGCCGGGAGTTTCCTGATGGGGGCTGAGCGGGGTGGGGCAGGAGAGAGGAGGCGGCGAGGAATAGCCAGCAGCTTGAAACCTCCCGAGCAGAGCAAGGAGTTGTAGGTCAAGTGCCCGCGAGGTTCCGAGGAGCTGAACCCCAGTCCAGGGGTCCCAGCCCTGCCAGGGGACGGCTGTGATCTGTCTTGGGGGTCTCGTGTCTCCTCCCTCTCTGGAAGTGGGTAGTGACAGCACTGCCGGGGACAGATTTCGTGCCAGTGTTTGGACTCGGACCTGCCGCAGAGCAACCCTTGGTAGATGCTGGCATCAGTAGCAGCCCCCAGGGTCGCCTGCATGTCTCCCACCCCCATGAGGGGAAGGTTGGGGAGACCAGGAGCTGAACTTACTTTGGAGACTAAAAGCCCTCCTCAACCCCTCGAGGCCATTGTCGATTGGCCCATGGGAGGAACACCCAGAAGGAGCTTGGGAATGCAGACATCCAGGCTGTGACAGTTGCCGGGTCACCCGTCCCTACGGCCTGGTTTGTAAAGGGAGCTTGGGGGGCTAGCTGGTCTCCACAGGCCAGTTCAGTGACAGCGAACTCAAATAGAGGGCATTTGGGTCGTCAGCAAGCGGATCGTGACTTTTTGCAAAGCAAGGAGGTTGTTAACCTATGTGAGAAGTGTATACCTGTCAGTCACCGAAAACCCTGTTTTTAAACACCCGGTGGTAGGTAAAGCTAGGCCAGGCACATGTCAGAGTCTGGTGTGATTCCCTCCTGTGCAGGATACTGGTTCACCTGAGCCGTGCGGGGGCCGAGGTCCAGATCTTCGCTCCTGACATCCCTCAGATGCACGTGATTGACCACACCAAGGGGCAGCCTTCTGAGGGCGAAACCAGGTACGGGCCCCTCCTCGTCGTCCTTGAACGTTCGCGGGTTGAAACTCCCCGAGAACCTGCGTGCGGTTGCTTCGTCTTAGCTGGGAGCCGAGTCCGTGTTTTAAGTGGACCTGACGGCAGTGGTCCTGAGGCTGTGCTGGACCCCAGGACGTCCCTCGCCGTCCAGCACTGTTGGAGCAGTGGAGGAAGGTTCCCCCTGAGTGAGCTCCTCGCGCCTTCATTCTCACCGAAGGCACGTGCGTTCGTTTGGTCTCAAACCTCGTCCACCCGTCTGGACCCACGTATCTGTGAGCAGCTCCCACCAACATTTCTGTTCCTGAGGATAGTGTGGCCCTGGCCTCGCATTCGCTGAGACCCACCTCCCCGCTCCGGCCTGGCCCAGACTTCAGGGCGATGGCCCCTGGGGGCTGTGGTTCCCCAACAGGAAACTCCTGGCCCTCTTCACCCACCAGGTGCCCTCCAGCGGGTGTAGACAGTGAGAGACGGGACGGTGGGAAGGAGCCGCGGTGCCATCTCCTGGGGCTGCGGCCCAGTCACGACCCGGGCCCTGGGCTGCCGCGCAGCCGGGGCTGGGAGGAGCTCCCTTTGTGGCCGGTCCGGGGCTGCCTCACTCGTCCCTCAGAGTTGCCTCTTAACGCTGACCCCCCCCCGGTTCCATCACCGTCCGTTCCCAGCGCCAAATGCTGCCTGGTGGCCCTGCCTGACACAGGAGTCCGGGTGACTAGGCGTGGTGGTTCGGAAGCGCCCATCTGAAAGGGCTCCAGAGGACGTTTCGAGCACAGACCCGCTGTGGTCACTGTCGCTTGGCGCCTTTTCTGGGGAGCAACCCGTACCGCCTGTGAGCCGGGAGGACAGGTCCTCTTGTCTCGTGGAGGCTCCTTCCTGCCCCGTTTTCCCGTCTGTCCACACACCGAACCTTCTGGGGGCCTCTCTCCGC